ACGTGAAAACAATCAAATATGTATAACTACCTGCAGGGTGTTTTGATTTAAAAATGTATAGGTTTGGTCAACATCTCGTTTATGGACCACCCTGTATATATAGGAATAATTTTTAATATGGTCATATAACTTTTATATTATTTTTTTTTCTTATTTCTAATAATAAAACAGCTATCGATCAATTACGCACTGATGAGACACTCTGTATATATGTTATTCTCTAACATGTTGGTATCGTTGGATATGCAAATTTATAAGGAATTGTATGCTAAAATATTATATCAAATGCTGCCTTTGAAAAATTGAGTAATTTGACTTAAAAGTAACCATTTTAAGACATGTTTCAAAACACTCGCTATAAAAGAATCCAGCACTATCACTACTATTCGTTATCTTAATGTGCTATAAGTCAGTATATTAAACAATTTTGAATTATGATAATTTAATTTAGGGTCTGCATTATTTTCTAATTTTATAAAAATTTAATTGCTTGGCAGACCTGTAATATTTTTTTAAATTATTCTAAGGTTGAATACAGTATTACCGAACCATTCTAAAATTGAAATAAAATACATGTTCTATTTTAAAAATATACTAAGCAAAAATGTAGCACCCTGTATATATCTAAAAATATTTTTAAAATATGTATTTTTTAAATCCATATAACTTTTTTTTGAAACATGTTTGCGTGTCTTTAACATAAATTAAAATATTGAACAATTACGCACTAATAGGACATACACATGGGTACATACACATAGCAGTCAACGTGTTAACTCAGAAATAAGATTCCTTATAAAGATAAAATAACATTCAGGAGAAAAAAGCAAAGACCGCCAATATTACGTGCGTATCATACAATGATGCCAGGTCATTCGGATTTAATTTACATCGGAATGCAATAAAGTTCCTTCCCTTTCCTGCATTTCACTATTGTATATTTCACCCACTTTAAAATCAAATTCGTCCTAGAAAGAATTGTGAAATTATCGTATAAATCGATAATCTGGCAACGTGGTCAACACTTGTTCATACACAGGCAAAATCAATCGATAATTTGGAACCAAACGAGACAAATATATATGAAAATCACGAAACAATAAAAGACGGCATACACCTGTATCACTGTTTCAAAAATTGGTACCTCTAAACAATCATTTACCTATTAAAACCATCTCTAAAGTAGAATAGCTATACTGTTTTTTACGGTGACATCTTCTTAAAAATAGATGAACTACATGAACTGTACACAATTACAGGAATTCATAGAAAATCTCTAATTTGACAAATAAATTTATCAAATATTTGTTAATCGTATTTCCAGTTAGATTTGAAAAATACGCAATAAAATTTAGAAATATTTTGGCGGGATACTTGGAAAAATATGTAGAATGAAATCTCCTACTTTTTAGCCTCTGGTTTTAAAATCACTTTTTATGATTTTTTTTTAAATTCAGTGTACAAACAGGACAAATAAAAAATAGGAGATTTCATTCTCCAAACCTTATACTTTAAGCTGGTAGAAGATTTATTTTAATTCATTTAGCGGGATTTAAATGCAATCGGAAATGGTGAACCCTTGCTTCTTATATGAGAAATACAGTGATACTGCGGCCTTAAGACTTACATAAATGTACGTCTTGTCGTACAAGGTAATTGTGCTAACTATTAATTTAAAATTGCCATTGATATAAGCTTGTTGCTGTTTTAATTTATCTTTTTAAAATGTGTGTTCTTTACTTTTCAGCATACGAAACAAAACTAAACTCTGATAGAGTACAACTGGTGATTGTTTATTATAAATTATAAAAGGGGAAAAGATTAGGGATTCCTAAGCCTTAATCTCTAACAGGTACATTTTCCTAGAAATCGATTATCAACAAACCATTGATGTTCTATTATTGACCCAAAATGTTGTTATAGAAAGGTTTAGTAATCGTAATATGAATAATATCATGGGTAGTAGCAAAAAAATTTAAAGAAAGGCATAAAAAGCCGGAATTTACGAAAAAAGACAAAATGTACAGAAAACACATCGAATAGGCAAAATAGGCAAACAAAGGCATTTTGCCTATAATCCGAGCTTTATATATAACTACTAACATCAAAAACCATCCACTCTTTTTTCCGCATGTCCCGCCATAATTCCAATCAAACCTCACATCTCGTATTTTTTGACAAGTGGCCTTTTACACCAAGGTCACTAAAAGTGGCCTTCTACAGCTCGGCCAGCCTGAAATTTGATTGTCCTCGATCAACTAAAGTTACACAAAATAAATTATAATCTAAAAAAAACTAAAACGAGCTAATAGCTATAACATCTGATAAGTATATCAACATCTAGGACATCAAGTATTCATGATCATACTAATATACATAAAATTTAAATAAACATAAAACAGATTTGTCACATAAAGCACATAAGTTTGAAACATACATAAATACATAAGTTTAAAACATAAATCCATAAGTTCATAAGTTGAAACGTAAATTCATATGTTTTTATATTCATAAATATACATAATACATAAGTAATACAACATAATACTTCACATAAATATAAGTTTGAAAAGTCATATGTTTAGGTCATGAGTATATTATAATAACTATTAATAATGAAATTAAACTTTTAAAATTGAAAAAAATAAAATAAATGATAAGATTATGTAAGTTCTGAAGGATCTCTGTTATCCTGTTGTCATAAACGCATCCTTGAAGGTGAAACAATTCCTTCATAAGGCATCTGGGTAACTTGAAATCCTTCGATATCTGTTATGACATATTGATAATGTTCCAGAATTTCTTTTACTACATAAGTCCTCTAAATTTCGGTATTAACTTTTTATTAACACGAGGAGTAGTATCAACATTGACTATCATAACATAGTCACCAATATCATATTTATGGGGTGCTTTTCTGTGCTTATCAAAATATTTTTATTATATTCTTGAGACTTTTCTATTTTTTTCGCAGCCTCAGTCCTTAATGAATCTAAATCTCTTTCTAAATTTCCCACGATAACCTGTAAATATTCTCTTAAATTGTCGTTAATTTTATCCCTTTGGTGAAGTTCAAACAATAACTTACTAGGGCTTTGACCTGTAGATCTATTAAATGTATTATTGATAGCAAACTATTGATTTATTTATAACTTAATTTGTCCATTAGCTTGAGGCATAGCGGTTGCTACCTCTATCTAAAATTATCTGTAACGGTTTACTATAATGTTCAAAGTAGGAATTTAAATGTTTGATAACCTCTCTTGATTCAGTTTTTGTACATGGATAAAGTTTTACAAATTTAATTAATGAATCTATGATAGCTAGGATATGTATGTACTTATACTGTGTTTTTTCCAACGGGCCATAATGATCTACAGAGTATTTTTATTTATTTTTATTTATTTTTATTTATTTTTATTTATTTTTATTTATTTTTATTTATTTTTATTTATTTTTATTTATTTTTATTTATTTTTATTTATTTTTATTTATTTTTATTTATTTTTATTTATTTTTATTTATTTTTATTTATTTTTATTTATTTTTATTTATTTTTATTTATTTTTATTTATTTTTATTTATTTTTATTTATTTTTATTTATTTTTATTTATTTTTATTTATTTTTATTTATTTTTATTTATTTTTATTTATTTTTATTTATTTTTATTTATTTTTATTTATTTTTATTTATTTTTATTTATTTTTATTTATTTTTATTTATTTTTATTTATTTTTATTTATTTTTATTTATTTTTATTTATTTTTATTTATTTTTATTTATTTTTATTTATTTTTATTTATTTTTATTTATTTTTATTTATTTTTATTTATTTTTATTTATTTTTATTTATTTTTATTTATTTTTATTTATTTTTATTTATTTTTATTTATTTTTATTTATTTTTATTTATTTTTATTTATTTTTATTTATTTTTATTTATTTTTATTCATTTTTATTTATTTTTATTTATTTTTATTTATTTTTATTTATTTTTATTTATTTTTATTTATTTTTATTTATTTTTATTTATTTTTATTTATTTTTATTTATTATTATTTATTTTTATTTATTTTTATTTATTTTTATTTATTTTTATTTATTTTTATTTATTTTTATTTATTTTTATTTATTTTTATTTATTTTTACTTATTTTTTTATTTCTGCAATTTTTGTATAGAGCGCATGATTTGTACCGTAATATTACCGGTTTCGCACGTGAACAAACCTATTGTAACACTATACGCGCGAACTCATGGAAAAGAGATTTCTTATAAAGATCTATAAAAATTTAAGAGTTAAACCATTTAAAGAGCAAATTTCATGGGCCCATCTTGACAACGTCGCAGGGACTCGTATGTACATTGAAAAATTAATTTATAAACAGGGAGCCTCTCATGTCAGTTAAACATTGTTAAGGGACTCGCATGTACAAACATGTATATTTAAATTTTAGAAATATCTTACCCTTCCTGTGAGGTTATAATTATTAGTACATTCCAAAACATATATATTATTAAATTTTTAAATATACATAGATGTAAATATGTAAAAAGACAATACTTTCATTTCAGTAAATATTTGCCTATTTCCGTTTTTCCGACATATTGCATATAAAAAGTAAAAAGTTAATACGTAATTTAATTTGAAATTGAAAAGGCTTTAAAATAAAAACAAAATATCAACCCACCCATTTATTTAAAAAAAAATGTTAGAGATTGCTGCAACCCCCCAGATAATTTAAAAAACATACAAACCTCTTTTTTACATGTCCCTTTAAAAATAAAAATGTATTTATTTAGTTACAGAATGTATTCCTGGTAATCTTTTCACTCTGTAGATGAAGCAATATTATCTACTAATATTTAATTGTGAAAAAAGAAAAATTATCCATAGCTGAAAGTATATTATTTGCATTTTTAGATGTTTTCTTTTGATTATTATGTTCTTATCCTACCTACACTATAAACACATTTCAGTTAATCTTTTTACTTTTAGAATTTGCCAACGTACTTGAAAATTACATAAATCAATATGGCATGATTTTTCAATTATTTGCTGGCCCTCTAAGTAGTGCACTAATAATTTCGGATGAAAAACTTATAGAATATGTTCTTAGTTCAACAAAAACTATAGAAAAAACTGATCACTACAAATACTTTCATAATTGGTTGGGAACAGGACTGTTCACAAGTAAAGGTAAGGTTATAAAAAAAAATATTATTTTTTCAGGACACTAAAAAAAATTATATTCTGGAGTAAAGATCGTATATGTACCTTACAGTTAACCAAACCTAACTGTGAATGGCAAAATTGAATGGTTTGATTTAGATTTTGAATCATAGTCAGCTCTTATAAATTATTGTTAAGGGTAATACCACAAGGGGTAAGTCGCAATAGAAAAATGTTATAAAGCCAAGAAAAGGCGTTATAAATAAATAATATTTTTATTTAAAATCAAATGAAACAAATTTTTATAAAGTATACAGTACAGTACAAACATAACCTTTTTGTTTATTTTGAATCAAGACAAATTTAAGTAAAGCTGCCCTTTTATTCCATCCAAGGTCCTTTTGCTCGATGGTCACCTGACTAAAAATTTATTCGCTCTGTTCTGCTGCTCCAGAAGGTATAGTGGACGGCACAAATAAATTTTACTATTCCACAAATAAATATCAGTAATATTAATATATCTATATATAATTCACAAAGACACCGCCGACGTTCAGACTTAGAAAACACAGTTGTTAAACTGCAAAAAAAGTAAAGCGTTCAATTCCATTACAGCTAAACGAATGTGTACGTTTAGCGCATAGTACCCTTTGAGCAAATATAATCGGAGCTTGTATGTCATAAATATTTTATGCCTGGCATCGCTGTATGACTAGCCCGGCTGCGTAAATAGAAAAGCTACTTCAATACGTCCCCCAGGCAGTGATCAACTATAGTCTATTTTTATGTATGAGAGAGTATTAAAATAATAAAGCGTTCGTAATCCATAGGCGTATCACTTCTTTTAGTAGACAGTTAAAATATTTTTTGAAGTTATTTTTCGAGTATACACTTGTATTTTCACCTAATTAACTTCTATACAGCTAAAGGTAAAAAAGTACAATTTTTTCTAAAATGTTTTATACTTCCACAAGGTATGTTAAGAACATTGTGTCAAACGGGTTATGTAGGTATAAGGGTTTAAACTTTGACTTTTAAACAACGTTACGATCATTTCATCAGTAATATTGTCCAACTTCCACATTTTCTCTTTTTCTTTAATCGTATGATTTACTGCCTTTTCCCAGTTTTCAGGCTTCACATTATTTACAGTCTCCAAAAACAACTGTTTAACATCACTCATTTTAAAAGAATTATTTTTTCTTGAAACTTCTCCCTTTATCTGTGCCCATATCAGTTTAATCGGGTTTACTTCGCAATGATATGGTGGTGATCTAACCACCGTCATCCCACGATTTTTTGCAATTTCATCAATTTCATATTTTTTGAATTTCTCTTTATGAAGGGAACACAAATGATACAGTTCTTTTCTCACAGAACCGGGATGGAACTTAATATTCTTTGAATTTAGCCAATTCTGTAAATCTTTTTTTAACCACTTGGTAGTGGGCATTTTTTCTATAAGTCTCGAGTGATAACTTGCATTATCCATTACTATTATACAGTTGAGGAAGAAGATCTATAATTTGTTCGAACCACTCTTTAAAGACATCAGCATTTATGTCCTTATGGTAGTCACCGGTACGAGTAGATTCAAAAGTCAATAAACCACCTTTAACAAAACCGTTTGAACTACCGATGTGTACTATTATTAGTTTGCGCCCCTTTACTGATGGTGGATTTAAACCAGTAGATAAATTATTTAAAAAAGCCTGTCTTCGACTTGTAACAGTTTCATCTTGCCAAAATTTATTTGGTTTATGTCCCTCGTTGATCCATGTTTCATCTAAATAAAATATATTTCTTCTTTGGTTTCTCATTTCTTTTATAGTCCTTAGGTAATTTCTTCTCCTTACTACAATATCGCTTCTTTCTATTAAAATAGACTTTCTGGAATGCTTTTTCCATAGAAAACATATTTCTTTTAAAAGTTTCCATAGTGTGTTTCGACTCATTTCAGGGCAATCCTTATCATCTCGAACCGTGGCAAGAACTTTGTCTACTGTCGGAAATTCTTTTCTAAAGAAGAACGCATGCACTTTCCTTCGAAGTCTTTCTTTCAAAAGATTTTCTAATTGAAATTTTGGTTTTCCTGGAGCTTTACGTGCTGTTTGAAACTCGCCACATTTCTCTTCTTTAACAACTCTGTAAATCGTAGATTTCCCAACCCCAAGCGTACTACTAACTAATTCCACTGTGTCATCAACACTTTTACATAAATGTTTGTCTGTAAATGATTTAAAACAATTAAATATTAATGTTTTTTCATTAACTGTTAAAGGACCGATTTTTTGTCGTTTACGCGGCCCTTCCAAATTTTCCATGATCACACTAGAATTCACACTGCACCTTGCAAGTTGCAACTAAACGACATTTAGTAAACTGTCAAGAATACACAACTTGGACCTCCTTACTAATTGGAAAACCTATAATCGCATTTTCGATGAAATTTGTTGGGAAGGTATTTATCTATTTATAATTCGATTACTGTAAGAAATTCTTGGAATTAAAATAAAACAAAATTGGCAAATAGGTACTTATTGAAAATAATCTTAAGATACGGCTATGTAATCTTTAATACACAGGGCTTTTGGCCTGTCCAAACCTTTTTCTATTGTTCTGTACAGCTTATATTTATAAAAGACCAATAAAAGACCCAAAACTTGTAATAGCTCAGGTAAATTTATTACAATTTTAGGAAATATTTAGATTATTCTGTAACAACATTTAAAATGACCGTACTAAGTTTTGCATTAGAAATGCTGTTTTATTACTCTCTCATACATAAAAATATACTTATAGACTAGGGTTTTTATGCGTAATTCGTGAATACTCCTCCAAATAGAGGAAAACGTATTATAATATTACATATTCCGGTAATGAAAACGGTTTTTTGCAAATTGTATTATCAGCAAAGAATATTTTGATTTATTCAGCAGATTATCACCAATATTATGACATCTACCTTGTTAGAAAAATGGTTTGGTAAACAATTAATCCCTAATTTGCCACCAAATACTGTTTAAATAATGGTCTAGTCAAACTAGTGAAATTCTAAAAGCAAAAGCTCAAAATAAGGTAATTTCCGCGTTTTTGTACAAAATGGGTGTATCATATCCACTAACAGCTTAAAACAACGATTTTTTTGTAGTATTGAAAGGCTTAAATCTCAAACCTAGCTATGTTGTGGATTAGATGGCATTTGTTCATACCGTAATAAGCTTACCACCGTATTATTGTACAATAAGTGACATAGAACTAATTTGGAGTAACATCAAAAGAGAGGTCAGAAAAAAAGTTAATTCTGAGTTGTTAAAAATCGTTTTAGATGTTATCAGAGGTATATATCAAGAATTATGTTCCATTTGCGTTCTCCATATTACCAAAATTGAAAATAACCATCCAGTATTTCCGCCTCATTCTTGCATTGTACACCTGAATGACACGTCAAGTGAAGATGATAGTTCTGATAAGATTTGATTTTCCATTTTTGTTATATTTTAACGTTACTAAAAGTAACCACGCTGTTGGTTAACGTTATCTTGGAGAGGAACATGGTATTATTCCTGTTTTATTTCACTAGGAATGTAACCTTGATGTGTTGAGAAGGCTTGCATGCTTAAATCACTTTAAAAATTAAAGCCAAACTAATACATTCAACAGTAATTTAGTTTTTTTATAATAAGAGATAACAAATAATATATTAAATAATAATGGAAGAAGGAAATTTTTGCGAATAATGTGATAATATTTAAATACGTATAATATTTCCACTTTAAAGCTACAATTTCCCAAGCTGAGTTTACATCAAAAAATGGCTTGTGTGGTATCAAATGAAAGTTGATTGAACCTGCAGTTAAATAAAATTTATTTTATTTTTTAAGCCAGAGGCGCACAACGGGGATTTCAAAAATTAGAGTTTATATCAAAAAATTGCTTGTGTGGTATCAAATGAAAGGTAATTGAGTGTGGAGTTAAATAAAATGGATTTTTTTAAAGTCAGTGACGCATAATGGGGGTTTCGAAAATTAGAGTTTAAATCAAATCATGCTTGTGTGGTATCGAATGAAATGTATTGAGTTTGAAGTTGAATAAAATACATTTTTTAAGCCAGTGGCGCACAAGGGGCGATTCCAGAAATTATAATTTAAATCAAATCAAGGCTTTTTTTGATATCAGTATTATCTTTTATTTTAATTAATTTGTTCGAGAAACCAAAATGTCCGATGCTAAGAGAAAACCCTTTGGTAGCGAATTTAAAAAGCGGAGATTGAACAAGCAAACAGCTTCAAAAACAGTCAGATGCGCTGCAGAACTTCTTGAAAGGAGTTAGTTTCAACGCTCCCACAACCAACCAACCAACATTTGAACAACGCCCAGCACCTAGATACTGACTTTCCGGATATGGACCCCCCTTTGGACGCAACCGTCAGCATGACTGAGCTGGGTAAGTCATCTCAAACGAGTTTGGCGAGTAGTGATGCAGTTTCGTGCAGTTCCAAAAATAAAAATTCGCAAGTTGTGCAGACCTCAGAGAAACATTTAGAAAAGGCTACCGTCCAAAGTATCTCTTCTGACCCAGGATTATGGCCCGAAATCATGCGTGCAGCAGATAGAGTTTTTTTTTGGTTAAACGTGGTCCAGCTGCACCTTTGTATAATTTTGATTTTCCTTTTGATGATCAGCATAGAATATTCTCACCAAAACATTACAAGAAAAGGCTTAGAAATGGAGAAGAGGTTTTATGAGAATGGATGGTATATTCCGTATTTCAAAACGCTTTATACTGTTTTCCATGTCGACTTTTTGCTGCACCATCTAGCTTGAGCGCTCTTGGCAATCGGGGATTTAAAGACTGGAAGAATTTAGGGGACTCTTTAGCACATTATGAAAATGTTAAAACTCATATAGATTGTTTAAAATCAAGGCTTGAATTAAAGCAAAGATTAAAAATTGGTGAAACAATAGATGCAGTTTCTCACAGATTCATTGATTCTGAGATAAATCACTGGTCTGAAGTTCTTTTA